TACATATCACCCAATCAAGATAGAGGACAGTTCCAGCACACCAGAGGCTCCTTTGTGCCCCTTCCCAGGCATAATTCCCAACAGTGAGCACTATCCTGATTTCTAACACCACAGATTAATTTAGCCTGTTTTTGAACTTCATGTAAGTGGAGTCATGCCCTGGGTGCTTTTTGGATCTTCTCTCTCTCTCTTTTATTTATTTGTTTGTTTGACAGAGAGAGACACAGCGAGAGGAACCATGGAGGAACACAAGCAGGGGGAGTGGAAGAGGGAGAAGCAGGCTTCCCGCTGAGCAGGGAGCCCGATGTGGAGCTAGATCCGAGGACCCTGGGATCATGACCTGAGTGGAAGGCAGATGCTTAACGACTGGGCCACCCAGGTGCCCCTGGATCTTTTCTTAAGTCCATCACATCAGTGAGGTTTAACCATGTTGTTGTGGATAACAGCACTTGCTTGTTTTTATTGTCATGATTCTTTCTTTTTTTTAAAGATAAGGATTTTTTTTTAAAGATTTTATTTATTTGACAGAGAAAGACACAGTGAGAGAGGGAACACGAGCAGGGGGAGTGGGAGAGGGAGAAGCAGGCTTCCCGTGGAGCAGGGAGCCCGATGCGGGGCTCGATCCCAGGACCCTGGGATCACGACCTGAGCCAAAGGCAGATACTTAACGACTGAGCCACCCAGGCGCCCCTGTCACGATTCTTCCGTGGTGTGACTACATGGCAATATTTTTCCATTCTCCTGTTGATGGGTGTGGGAGGCTGAGTTCCCCAGGGAGCAGCCCCTGAGACAGAGATTACTGATGGGGCTCATTAGTGAGTGTTCTTGGAGTCAACACCTGTGGAAATAGGACTGGACGGGGGGAGACCCGGACTATGGTACTTACCCAAGAACCTCAGTTGACCACATGAGGGTAGAGCTCCAGCCTCCAGAAGTTCTTCGTTCCTGAAGCGGGATCTGAGCAGCACATCAGAGCATCCAGCACAATGGACATTTGGGCTGTTTCTAGTCTGGGGCTATTATGAATAACGCTGCTCTGAGCATTCACATACTGGTCTTTGTGGACATATGCACCCGAGTCTTTTGGGCATTCACCTAGGAGTGGCATCTCTGCGTAATTAGGTAGGTGGATCCGCAATTTTAAAAGAAACTGACAAATCCTTGCTGACCACCTACTGTGCACATGGCCCTGATTGTTCTAGGGGCTGGTTCCTAGGCATGGCAGCTTCTTGCCCTCCAAGCCCCTTGCCCTCCCAGTGGGGAACAGCTGAACACAGCAAGTATAATAAGGTAGGGGTCCCAGGACCCTGGTGGCGGGAGAGACAAGGGGCTGGGCTGCCTAGCAGTCCCCAGATTGGGCTGGGCTCCCACTGGCTTCCCATTTCTCCTCCACCACAGTTGGCATGAGCCCTGGGCGAGCGCTCAGCTTCCTCAGCTGGATGGTGGGGACCGAAACAGCTGTCCAGCAGCTAGCTTCTCAGAGCGCTTGAGGCTACTTAGGAAATGCTTCTGTGGAAACCCTTTGAAATGATGGGGCCCTGGGCAAATGATGAAGGCTGACTGCCAGTGAGGGAACCCTGGGCAGGGATGGAGGGACTATGAGGGGCCTCGGGGTCAGGAGAGGAGGTGCGGAGGCCTCAGAAGCCTCAGCCCTCTGACCTCCTTGCCTGGGGGTGCCTCTCCTAGCTTTGAGGGCCTCAGCACATCCTGCAGTACTGACTATAGCCACCAGGGGACGCGTCAAGACCTGTCTTGGAGCAACCGTTCACAACAGCTGTGTAGGTGGCTTGGAGGGGAGGGAAGGTCTCCACTGAGGTGGCAACAATCCATAAAGCTCCTACTGTGGGGTCAGCAGGGAGGACCACTAAATGCTCAGAAGGTTGCAAAGCGGCCTAAGTGAAGAGGCATGGAGGGGGCATGGTGACACAAGGGATGCAAACCCTCGCAGACCCCAAGATTCAGACATCTGACTCCTAGCTGCCTCTGACCAGAGTCCTGTAACCCTTAGTTACTGTTTTATTTTTTTTTAAGATTTGATTGATTTATTTGAGAGAGAGCAAGCAAGAGAGAGCAGGACCGGGGTGAGGAGCAGAGGGAGAAGCAGGCTCCCCACTGAACGAGGAACCCGATGCAGGGCTCGATCCCGGGACCCTGGGATCATGACCTGAGCTGAAGGTAGACGCTCAGCCGACTGAGCCACCCAGGTGCCCCATAGTTACTGTTTTAAAAACCTGTAAAAATGCCTCAGGAAATAGATTAAGTTGCATCCAGAAAAGTCCGTGGGATGTTCTTCTGCCTGAGAGAACAAACATAATGTGCTATGTTTGCAAGAAAAAAATAATAGTAGCTTGCAGCTTAGCGATAGTTCCAGGCCGGCAAACTTCTGCCCTTGCACTCTAGAGATGACAGCACTAATGCAGACTGTTGAGAATTATCCCCAATTCCAGGCCCCTAAAGCGTAATGACCAGTTCCTGAAGCAGAACCACCAGCTCACCACCGTCAGACAGGGAGCTGCCGGGTGATCAAGAAAGGAAATATTAGAGCCGACGTAATCCCTCATCAATCAGCATGATCCAAGACCCTAGACCCTTACCCTGGATTCTCATCCTTTAAAAACTCCTGCTTGTAAGTAAGTCATCGGGGAGCTCGGGACTGGGAGCATTAGCCCTCCCCCACCCCGTTCTCTTGGGTGGTGCCACACCAACAAATAACCTCTTTCTTTACTGCAAAAGCTCCATCAGCTTTTATGGGCTTGGTTCAGTTTCAGTAGCACAGCAGTTAATACGCTGGCTCTCGAGCCCAACAGCCGAGGCCAAGTCCTGATTTGTAGTTTACTGCCTTGTGATTGTGAACAATGTGCTTTACCTCCTTGTGCCTCAGTTTCCAAGTTTGTAAAATGGGAATGATTACAATAAATAGGTAGTTTTAAGAAATTGCCATGAGGATTAGCAAGTTAATACGGTCCTGGACTTAGAACAGTAAGCATGGCACGCAGGTGCTGCCTGGGCACTCCTGCGCCCCAGACGTCAGGCCTGAGGTAGGATGGCAGCTCCTCAGAACACCTACTCTCACTGAGGTCCTAAAGATGGAGCTAGACCGCATCAGCCTGTTGGCATCATGTAGCCTGAGGTCTACAGCTTGCCAGGTAATTTTCCATCAGGGCTGAGGGGACCTGATTTCCCTGATAAGCTTCCATAATCACTTCTTTTATAAGATTGTGGTTTATCAACAAGGTGCTCTTGGCTCGAGCCCTCTCTGGTCACCACCCAAGGCGGCCAGTGATACCGGTGGAGCCAGGGTGGGGGCGGAGGGGGAGGGGTCTCTGGGCCCCAGCTCTGCCCAGAGGTAAAGCAATGCCCTAAGCCTGTATCCCTCAGGTTGGGCCAGTAGGACCATAAAGCGTGGGGCCCTCGCCTCAGACTGGAGCAACTGGAACCACTGACCTTGGACTTGCCGTGATTGCTATTGACTTTTCTCACCAGTTTGCCTTTGGCCTTTGGAAGACTGCTTCTAGAGGGGAAACGGAGGGAGGCTGGCCAGGAGTGTGGTGTGGAAGAGAAGGTCCAGGGTCCAGGCAACATCTTCTGAGGGCAACTGATGCCAGACTGCTGTTACCTCTCCATTGCCAAGACTAAAATCACAGCATGTCGGGGCTAGAAGGGCCCAGAAACCGGCTCACCTTGGCTTCCTGCTTTACACATGGGGACACCAGGGCCCAGGGAGGACAGGAGAGGGCAAGAAAGCACAGGAGGCAGAACCTGGGTCTCCAGACCCTCCATCCTTTCCCACCTCAACAACCTCCCCAGCCCGGTCACCAGCACCACTGTCCCCAGCTTCTCCGGGGACATGGATGGGGAAATCCCTCCTCTTAGCAGAGTTCAGAGTAGTCACTGACCATGGCCTTGATCTGGGGTCTTGGGAAGGGCTTAGCCTCAGGTGGGGGGCCAGGGTACCCATAAGCCTCCAAACTAACCCAGGGCCTTGCCACCTAAAGTGGGTTCCACAGAACCACCTCGTTAGAAAAGTAAAATCCCAGCCACAGCCCCAGGCCTTCTGAATCAATCAGCGTTTTAAAAAGATCCCCCAGGAGATTCCCGGGCCTGCTGCAGGGGGGAAGCACCAGGTTAGAATAAGCCATTTTCCCTCCACCAGCCTCAGTTCTCCTACAGAAATGGAGGGGGCGGAAGATCTCTGAGTTTCTTTTTATTTTTGTTTTTAAATAGACTCCACGCCCTACATGGGGCTGGAACGCACAGCTCTGAGATCAAGAGTCGCTTGCCCTACGGACTGAGCCAGCCAGATGCCCCAGATCTTTGGCTTCTTCGCACAGCTAACACGCCCAGAGGCAGGCGTTTGGCATGACCTCCTGTGGGACGATGTGTGTTTTGTATCAGATTTGTGGAAAGTGGAATTCCAACTCCAGCAGGGTGGGGGGAGTAATCAGCACCTCTCCTGTTCTGCCTGATTTACCCCTCTCCTCTCTGCCTGAGATGCAGCACTGGGGCAACCTCACAGGTCCTGGGATGCAGCTAATTCAGTTCAGTCCACTCCAGCAACACTGATTAAGCACCTCCTGTGTGCCCGGGGTCTGGAGCAGTGAATCTCCAACCTGGCTGTGCATTGGAATCATCCAGGGTGCTTTTAAAAACTACTGATGCTGGACCCCACCCCAGGCCACTGGAATTAGAGTCTCTGGGGGCAGGTCTAGGCGTGACTACTTACTAATGTGCCACGGGCAATTACAACGCACAGCCGGGCTGAGAACGACCGGTCAGAAATAAGGGACAAGTCTATTTTAAATCCTACCCAGGCTATCTCCAGAGTCTCTGCTTCCTTTAGGTCAGCCAGCTGCAGCAGCTCTGCTGCAAACCAGGGGCAATCATCAGGAAATTCCCCAGATATCATACATAACCCGTGACAGCAACCTCTAATTAATCATCAACCTTGTAACATGATCCTGGCCCATAACAAGGAGACCCGCAGAATCTTTGGAAACCTGTCCACGGGCCTTCTCCAGACAATTCCTTCCAGACCCAGGGACCCGTGCCCGAGGACCACAGGCTGATGGGGGCCCAGCTCTGCTCCCAGGCTGGTAAGTGGGAGCCCTAAGCTTGGTCCCTAGACCAGGGATGCAGAAGGAGAGGGGGAGCTGTGGAACCGTGGGTGAGTCACTTTTCCCTAGGGCCTCAATTTCTTCATCTGCCGGCCAGCGCCAGTGCAAGCCCTGCTAGCTTACGGGGCTGCCAGAGGCACAAACCAAAAGGTTACCAGGCACGACAGTTCTCTGAGAGCCTCACCTGAAACCACAGTGTGCCCTTAGTGTGCAGGCAGGAGATGGAGAACCTGGTCTTTTACCACCAGAGGTCTGGACTGCATCTCAGAACTCTACTCCCTCCCAGGCAGAGAGCCTGGAGCCTCAGCCCTTGGCTCCTGAGGGGCACTGGAGGCTAAAACCCGGCAGCAGGTGGCACCCAGGGCTAGGTTGGGGGGAGGGACGTGATAAGGAGGGTGGGGACCAAGCCACAGTTGGTGCTGCTGCTGTGGCAACTGTGGATTCCAGGTCATGGTGGTGCCATAAAGGAGGCAGCGTGGGAGGGCGGGGCAGGAGCTGGGCCCGGGCTTCTCGGCTCCTGGCTGTGGAGATGTGCAGAACCACCCCGACTCAACTCCCTCTGCATGCCTCCCTGCAGGTTGTGGGAGCAATGAAAGATGCTGTAAGGGTTCATACATGCCTGGCACCTAAGAGGCTTGATGGCTGGAGGGGTGGTGATGGAGTTGATGAAGATCCAGGGAGGTCCTCGCTGAGCAGAGGGCTGACCCTCAGTCACTTAGATTCCAAGAGACTTACTGCAAAGATTCTCTTTGAATCTGCCTGGGGGTGCGGCGAGGGGGAGACATCCAAAAGTCATGGTGCCTGCCCAAGTGGGCAGTTAACTCCTCACATTCAGGATCTCCAGGCAGGTACCTGGAGACTCCAGGCCGTGGCTGGCCATTGATATCAATCCCATTGGTGGATAAGGAGACCTATACAAAGAGGGGCAGTGACCTGCGTAGGTGAGCAGCAGAGCTGGGACTAGAATCTGGCTATCAGACATGGCTGCCCTCCACAGAGCCTCCTGGATGCCTCAGTGACTCTGCAGTGGGCCCAAAGAAAATCCATCTGATGTCAGGGCCCTCAACTCCGGCTCCTGGTCACCGTCTGTGCCTACTCGGGGACTCCCCCTTGCTTGTGCATAGCCTCCAGGAAAGGGCATCTGGGCAGACTCTCAGGAAGGAAGGGAGAGACCAGGGTATTCCAGAAGGGGGTGACAGTCGTGCAGGGGGCTTGGGTGAAGGAGGGGTGAACTTGGATAGCAGGGTTCAGAGGTCCCCAAGGCCAGAGTGAGTGCTTTTCCCTAAAGCCTCAGGTGAGAGAACCATGGTAGGGTTGCCTTTGGACTGAATCCATCAGGGACAGATTCACTATGACCTCAAGGGTATCCCTTGTACCTGACCAGATTTAGCCTCCCCCGCTTGTGCCCTGCTGGAATCTTGCAGGCTTGTGAGTGGTCAGAGAAGTGTGGCTGGGGAAACAGGTGAGATCTGGGAGGGGGAGGGCCTTGCTTTTTTGGGTTGTGGTCTGGCTCAAGTTCTGATTGAATTCCCTTCTATTTTCAGCTTCCATCTTCCAACCCAGAAAGAGCAGGGCAGGAGGGGAGGGGTGGAGGGGAGAGAGGTGAGGCCTGGGAGCCTACTAAGTGCAGCTGTGGGGCAGGAAGTGAGCTTCCTGCTCAGGCTCAGGCCTGGGGCTGGAGTGGAAGGGCTGCTCAGTAAGGAACTTCCTCTCTTGACTGCCAAGTGGAGCCGGGTTGGGAAGTCCCCCCATTTTAAAGCCCAGCCCTGGGCCTTGGCTGGCCCAGCCCAGGATTCTGAGGGATTCCTTCTCCAGCCTGTGCCCCCTCCCCCCACCTCACCCTGTGGGGGCACTGATGGACCCCTTTCTCTTCCTAGAAAAGGAAGTCACCCTCACTGGGGGCCATGGCCTTCATAAATGGTGCAGGTTCTCTGTGGGACAATGATAAAGTCAGACAAACAGAGAGGGAAACAGCGCGAACACCAGGACCCATCTACCAGAGCTCACCACAATTAGCAAACCCATCTCCTTTCAGGCTGTTTCTAGATACAGAGAGAATATATATGTGTATATTAAACATATAAACATGTGTCGAAGAAAACCTGGATCATATTATATCTACTGTTCTAAAACCTGCTCTTTCTATTTAATGCAAATAACCATTACCAGGTATTGAGAGCCGGTACAGGCATGAGTTCGTTTAATTTTTACAACATTCCTCCGGGAGGGGCACTGAGGCTCGGGGAAGTTCACGGCGGAACTCAGATCCCGGGCCCGCAAAGCGGGTTCCTCACCCAGGCTTTGATCAGATCTCCGGGAGGGCGGAGGTCCCCTGGATGAGAGCACGGGCAGTGGCCCCGGGGCGGGGGGGGGGACGGGGGGTGTGGAGATAACTCTGGGGAGCGGGTGGGTGGGGGTCCAGACCGCACTGACAGCCCCACCCCCACCCCCACCCCCACAGACGCCAAGGCGCCGCGAGAGACACTCCGCTTCCACGCTGAGGCCAAGGGCGCGCAGGTGCGTCTGGACGCCCAGCAGTGCACTGCACACAGGCGCGCCACGTTCCACGACGGCATCGTGTTCAGCCAGCGGCCGGTGGCGCCGGGCGAGCGGGTGGCGCTGCGCGTGCTGTGGCACGAGAGCGGCTGGTGCGGCGGGCTCCGCGTGGGCTTCACGCGCCTGGACCCCGCGCGGCTGTCAGCGCCCAGCCTGCCGCCCTTCGTGTGCCCAGACCTGGAGCAGCAGAGCCCGACGTGGGCGGCCGTGCTGCCCGAGGAGGGCGCGCTGCCCGGGGACGTGGTCCGCTTCTGGGTGAACCGCGGCGGCCGGCTCTACGCCAGGGTCAACGCGGGCCCCCGGCTCCTGCTGCGCAAGGGCGTGCTCCTGGGCGCCCCCCTCTGGGCCGTGATGGACTTGTACGGGACCACCAAGGCCATCGAGCTGCTGGGTGAGGCCACCCGCGGGGACCCAGGCACCGCCCTGGGGTGGGAGGTGGAGGCTCGGGTGGTACTGCGCCCCCACTCACAGCCGTGGGGAGATCCGTTCAGTTTTTCATATACAGTTTTTACATCAGCTCCTACCCAGGGTTGGGTAGGAAGATGGGCGCTGGGGACACCAGATGGACAAGACCCAGTCAAAGGGAGGGCAACCTTGCCCCTAGAGAATACTACGAAGATATAACTAGCACTTCAAACATTCTGTTAAAGGGCTGTTTCCCAAAGGGAGAGATTGGAGACTGGGTTTTGCTGTCTAAGTAGGAGTTCACAAGAGTCAAGGGTGGCGAGCAAAGGGAACATAAGTATGAGCGTTACAGGTGCCCCGGCCGACTGCTTGTGGGGGTACAGTCCGCCGTTCCGTCAATGGGTGGGCAAACCAGAACCATCCCTCTAGCCACCTGAAAGGAGTGAGGATTTCAGGGAGAGTGGATACAGGAAACAGCCTTAAAAAATATCGGCGTTCCTGTGCTGGTCGTCCAGGGGCCTACACAAGCAGTCCATTCTCCCCCCATTTTTAAAATCACTTGTCACAGCTGCTGAAGCCCCAGCCCTGGAACACCTGTTTTGGTAGGTCTGGTGTGGGCCCAAGCACCCATTTTCCTGGCCCCCTAGGGTCTCCAGTCAGGCAGCAACAGTAGGGCAAAGAGGAGATGTCTAAAGGATGGGTGGGGTGGTCTAGGAAAAAGAATCTACAGCCTCACGAATTCTCTGCTGGGTTAAACCAGGGAAGGGATGGCTTGGGCAGTAAGATCAGCTGGGAGTTCCAGCATTGCAATCCAGGAAAGAAAGCCCATGGAACTACCTCAGGGGCTGGTGGGGTTGGGGTGGGAACACCCTGGCTTTGCTTTCCCTGGGCCCTGAGTCTCCCTCTCTGCCTCAGATCCCACGGCCAGCATCTTCCCCTCAACCATGCCATGGGCCTTCAGTGATGTGACTCTGCAGACTGAAGGTGAGTGGCTCCCCCCAGCCCCAGGGACTCCCCGGGACTCCAGCACCAGAGGCACCACTGGAGGCCCCAGCTCTGGGGGCTCAACTAAAGTCTTTCCAAGTCCCACCAAGTCTCCCACAGGCTTTAGGCCAAAAGATTTGGTGCTGCCTACGAGAAACCTAAACGCAGTTTAATAGCTCTGTCTTCTAGAACTTTGGCTATCTTTACAAGCTACAAGAGCACATTCATGCACAAATAATGTTATTTTGTCCCTGCTTTAAAAAGCAGTCCATGTTCATAATAAAAGATTCACCAAACAGAAAATAAATAGCAAAGAATAAATATGGAAGTAAAAAAAAAAAAATCACCCATTACCTCTTAGGTGGATTTTTCTCCTACAATTTTGTAGTTATAGATCTGTGGGGAATTGTGCTCTGTTTTCCTTTTTTCTAAGTTGGAATTTTATGATATATATGTATGTACGTTATGGTTTTCTTCCCAGTTTTTTTTTTCACTTGTTTATGTTGTGAGCATTTTCTCACGAAGTAATATTCTTCACAATAGGACTGCGTGGTTCCCTGCCCTGTAGTTACAGCGTGAGTAGGCTGCCCAGCCTTTGCCCCCATGTGCCCCAACCTGTGTTGTCCCCTTTCCCAGCTGCAACAGGAGAGGAGTGTGCCATCTGTTTCCACCGTGCTGCCAACACCTGCCTTGTCCCCTGCGGCCACACACACTTCTGCAGCTACTGCGCCAGGCGGGTCTTCAGGGACTTGGCCAAGTGTCCTGTATGTCGCTGTAAGATTGAGGCTGTGACCCCCGCATGGGGCCCCCCTACTCTGAGGACTGGAGAGGGCCTCCGGGTGCGGGTGGCAGACTGAGTCTAGCTCTGAGCCTGGCCTCTGCAGGGTGGAGAGGTGCAGCGCCGCGTCACCCGCATTCTGGAGGAGTCAGAAAAGCTGGTCAGCAGCGGGCCTAGCATGGCGAGGGAGGCGGGGAGGCAATGGCTCCTCCCTCCTCCCCAACAGACTGGGGCCAGTGGAGAAAGGAGGAGCCCCTCTATCTCCCTGGTGGTTCAGCAGGGAGCCCTCTGCTTAGTCAGGTTCATTTGCGCCCGGGGCTTGCCGAGGCTTTTGGCTGACCGCCTGGTGTGGCCACCGTAGACCTAGCAATCCTGGTACCCGTAGGTCATGTCAGGGAGAAGGGCCTTTATTCAGAGACGGGGCAGCCTGTTCCCTGGTTTTATAGCGGAGGAGCAGCAGATATCAGCATGTATCTGGTAGAAGCCCGGCCCAACCTGGGGTACTGAGGAGCCTGGGGCATCCGCAGGGAGGCATCTGGGTGGACGGTTTACACTCCTGTGTGAAAGCTGGGTCATCCCTGATAAGCCCTCCATAAAGCGGATGAGCAGTCACCCGCCCTGCCTGCCTGGCAGGGTGACCGTGAGGTCCCAGTGAGACAGCCTATCTGAAGACGTTTCTGCACACGAGACTGCGCTGTTGTGACTGTTCTTATTTCCTTGCCAATTTCGGAGGGGTCTAAATAAAGTTTGTCTCTTGTGAATGATTTTGTAGTGAGTATGTCCCCTTTGCTGCAGTCGGGGCGGGGGTGTGGATGGAGCTGTGGGCTGGCGGGATGCTAGGGCGTTTGGGAACATACCCTCTGTCCTCTGCAGACACACCCTAGGCTTGCGGTGGACTGGGTGGGGCTTGGCCGCTCAGGCCTGTGGACTTTATTCTGCTGAGCACATGAAGGGGACAGTTCCACGCTCCCAGCCCTGAAGTCACAGCCAGGCTTTGCCCTTGCCACCCTCAATCTGAGGGGACTGCCAGGAGGCTCTGGCTCCTGAAGGAAGGGAGAAGTTGACCCGGGAGCCCCCCTCAGCAGGTGCTTGGGTTGGGGCAAGCCATACCTATTACTTTGCTGTTGTTCCTTGCTCTGGGACTAGTGGGGCGGTATCTCCTGGGAGAGAGGACTAAAAGGGTGGTTCCAACCTATTGTGCTCAAAATTGTAGTGACGGGCACCTTCATAAACTGCCTCCCTACCCACACCATTGCCAACAGGTGGGTCGGGACACTGGGTTTCGGGGACACTGGAATAGCTTACACTCTGCAGTGGGATCGCCTCTCCAACACTCATGAATGGTCCAACCTTGGTCTTGTGGCTTGACTCCTGTGAGCCTCAGTTTCTTCATCTGTAAAGTGGAAATAAGATCATTTTCTTTGCTGGTAAGTGTGAGAATCATGAGTATGAAACTTGTAGCTTAGATGAAGGACTCAAAATATGGCATCTCCTTCCCCTGAAAAAGGCATCTCCTGGGGAAGCCGCCAAGAGATCAATGGGCTAGGTGTCAGAGATCTGGGTGTGAGTCCTGGCAGCCCACTGACTTTTACCAAGGGCCCCCATGTCATCCCCCGTCTCTTGGAATGATTTCTATGGATCCCTTTTTCATCCTTTAGGTGTCTTTTTGTTTTTAAGTACTGCCTCTAGAACAAGTGCAGGACTTCCACCCTATTTCCGGCGAACACCTTCTTATTAGTTAACACCTGAGCAAGCCTGATCTTAAAAATGATCTCTGACCAGAGCAGGGGGACTTCTGGAATGGTGGAGTAAGGAGCCCTGTAAATCCATTCTTCCATAAAAGCAACAAAAGTATTGGCAAGATTACAAAAATCAACTTTTCCAGAACTCTAGATATTAACCAAAGGCTAACAACAATCTGAAGAGGGGTTTATCCAAGACAAACTGCTCCGGCCTACTGCCACCCCTCGAGCCCCAGCTCCACAGTAGCCTTTAAAACCAGCAGCCTTGCAGCTGGTAGAGGGGACAGACTGGGTTAGGAGCACCTCAGAAAGTGCTGTCACCCAAGCATCATTATTGTTTGACCTGTATGGCAGTTCACTGGAAAAACTTGACTTACAGGGTGTTATTACTTAATCCAAGTTGAAGCTTTCTACTCGGGAAAACCCCTAATCCCAGGGCATTTGTCAAATATAATCAGCTTCAATTGCTTAACCTCACAGCTGCCAAGGACTGCGATACCAGTTGGGGGGCAAACATGAGCCCAGCCAAAAATTTAAAAGGGAGATCTGAGAAATTGGATGTACCTAGGAGAATTTGAAAAGCTCTGGTGTATTTCAGGGGATCTAAAAGATTGTGTGCATGGTCTGGAAAGGTCTGAAGGGCCTCGATCTCTTGCTTCTGGCTGACCTTGAGGTCCTGTACACTCAGGAAATAAAGACTAAGACCAAGCTGTAAATTGCTTGAGCATTGAAGGCATGCCTCAACCCCCAGAGCTCCTTGGCAAAAAGTGGAAGATTTTCTAGCTTAAGGCATTTAAGGAAATCTCTGTCTAATCATGAGCTGACCATTAAGCTAACCCCGTGGGGTCATCAGTGGCTGCACACTACAGGAAATATAGACCTCACAGAACTAGTCCAGGAAAGTCACTGAACAAACAAATATACAAACAACAGTTGTGGCAAACCCCAGCAGGGATGGTGCTGGTGGTGCTGGTGGTGCTGGTGGTTGTGTCTGGTATTCAGAGTTGCCATATTATGTTATCTAGAGGACCCGGTTTTCAAAGGGAAAAAAAAAATATATATATATATATATATAGCCTGAAAAGAAACAGGAAAGTGTGGCCCATTTCAGTCTCTAGAAACTGCCCTTGAGGAAGGCTAGATGTTGAACTTACTAAAGATTTTCTTTTCCTTTTTTAATTTTATTTTTAATTAATTAATTTTATTTTATTTTATTTTATTTTTTAAGATTTTTTTAAAATTTGTTTGTTTTTGAGAGAGAGAGGGAGAGAGCACACATGTGCGTATGAACAGTGGGGAGGGGCAGAGGCAGAGGCAGAGGCAGAGGGAGAAGCAGACTTCCTGCTGAGCAGAGAGCCCCACACAGGGCTCGATCCCAGGACCCTGGAATCATGACCTGAACTGAAGGCAGACACTTAACTGACTGAGCCACCCAGGCGCCCCAGTTTTTTATTTTAATTACAGTATAGTTCACATACAGTGTTATATTTAGTTTCAGGTGTACAATATAGTGATTCAACAATTCTATACATTATTCAGTGCTCATCACGATAAGTATACTCTTCATCCCATTCACCTATTTCACCCATCTCTCCACCCCCACAACCCCATCCCCCTGCTCTGGCAATCAGTTTGTTCTCTATAGTTGAGAGTCTGTTTCTTGCTTTGTCTCTCTCTCTCTCTTTTCTTCCTTTTTTTATTTATTAAATTCCACGTGAGTGAAATCACGTGATATTTGCTTTCTCTGACTTATCTCACTTAGCATTATACTCTCCAGCTCTACGCATGTTGTTGCAAATGGCAAGAGTTCATTCTTTTTTTATGGCTGAATAATATTCCATTGTGTATATGTACCACATCTTTATCCATTCATCTATGGATGGACACTTGGGCTGCTTCCATAATTTGGCTATTGTAAATAATGCTGCAATAAACATAGGGATGCATATATCCTTTTGAATTAAGTGTTTTTGTATTCCTTGGGTAAATATCCAGTGGTGTGATTACTGGATCATAGCGTAGTTCTATTTTTAATTTTTCGAGGAAACTTCCTGCTGTTTTTCCAGAGTGGCTGCACCAGAAATGCACTGCATTCCCCCAAACAGTGCACAAGGGTTCCCTTTTCTCCACATCCTCACCAACACTTGTTTTTTTGTGTTTTTGATTTTAGCCATTCTGACAGGTGTGAGGAGATATCTCATTGTAATTTTGATTTGCATTCCCCTGATGATGAGTGATGTTGAGCAATTTGTCATGTGTCTAATGGCCATCTGTATTAGACAGAGACTTTATTTTTTTAAGATTTATTTATTTGAGAGATAGAGCACGCACATGGGGGAGAGGAGCAGAGGGAGAGAGAAACTCAAGGAGACTCTGCACTGAGCACAGAGCCTGAGGCAGGGCTTGATCCCATTACCCGGAGATCACTACCAGATCTGAAACCAAGAGTTGGACACTCAACTGACCATGCCACCCAGGCACCCCTAGACAGAGACTTTAAATCAGCTATTATAAATATGTTCAAAGTATTAAAGGAAACCATGTCTAAAGAATTAAAGGACAGTATGTTATCAGTCTCACCAAATAGAGTATATCAATAGAGAGATAGAAATTATAAAAACAACCAAATAGAAATTCTGGAGTTGAAAAGCACGATATCTGAAAAAAAAAATTCACTAGAGGGGCTTGACAGCAGATTTGAGCTGCATGAGAAAGGATCAATGAATTTGAAGATAGATTAATGCAGATCATCTAGTCTGAGGAAAAGGAAAAAGATGGCAAAAAATGAACAAAGCCTTAGAGACCTGTGAGGCACCACCAAGTGCTCCATCATACACATAACAGAAATACCAGAAGAACAGAGAAAAGGAAAGAAAAAAATATACCAAAAAGTTTATAAATTTGAGAGCTTGCTCCACCCCCAGGGGGACGGGATGCTGAGGCTCCACCCACACACCTTGTATGAAGCGGTCTGCTCAGAACCACCCCCACTGGTTAAGGGAGGTGGAGGGGTGGGGCACAGCCTGGGGAACTGGCCAGGAACTCCCCTGCTGTGAGTTCACCGATGGTGAGGCACAGAGAACATCCTGGCAGAGCAGATGGCCCTAAGCTGGGCCCAAGTGTGTGAGATCCTGAGGGAAGAGCTGTACCAGGGCAATGCCTTCCATCACCCTGATACATATATCTTCATCATCATGGGTGCATCTGGCAACTTAACCAAGAAGATCCACCCTACCATCTGGTGGCTGTTCCAGGATGGCCTTCTGCCCAAAGACACCTTCATCGTGGGCTACACCCCCTCCCACCTCATGGTGGCAGACATATGAAAACAGAATGA